AGCTTGGGTAATGGTTAGGGTTGGGAGCAATTTGGGGAGGGGTCTCATTTCATTAGTTAATAGAGAGTTATCTCTGTCTCAATGCCTTGGTTGGCTGTTCTCAAACATGTTTTAATATCTTATTGCGAAATGGTTCCTTTAATTTTTGTTTGCAAAAAGTATTTTTAATTGCATTTCAATTGGAACCACAGGTGTCAGTGAAGGTAGATATTGGCTTTGCAAAAGAGGCTCCTGTTTTGGGCATTTTTGGGATTAATGTCTACCATAAAAATCGATTAATCATGGTAAGCACTTTTCAGTTCTGACTTATTCGTTCATTTTCCTTTGTTATTGGTATTGTTTTATTATGTGTCATGTTCGTTAGATCACATCTCAGCATTTACAAAGTATGTTGCAGTGTTGCCCCATATGCAATATGGTGATATGTCAATGCAGAAATTTTTACATGTCGAGTATATGTATGGATATATACATGGAAGATGCATCATATATATAACTGTAAAAGATGAGAAGATGGAGTGCTTGTAGCTGCTATTTTTGAAATCTATATGGAAATCACCAAATGGAAGATATGTAGTTTTCTTAATTTTTCATGGCCATCAGGTCATGACAGTAATAGTCTGCGGTACATATTTTCAGGGTGACTCTGGTAACCATGGTCTAGACAACTGTAGTCATTGTAATCCGCAACTGGTTTTGTAGCCCATCGTAAGGACTAATTGAATGCATCCTAGTGTTAGACCGTACCACTAGTCTTTCTTCAACCTTTCTCTTGAAATGTTGATGATCTCCATTATTATATTTAGACCTGTTATGTAAGGAATATCGAGCTGCCAGTAGAAGTTATCAATATTTTGAATGTTTTCTGCTAAAAAAAACTTTCAGATATCAATATTTTGAATGTTTTCTGCTAAAAAAAAACTTTCAGAATGTTATAGTTTCATGAGTTATGTTCATCTATGAATATGAGGAGAGGCCTAAATGCATGCTATCATGTTCAGAGTCGGGTCTGGCCATCTAAATATACAGTTCTAGTGATAAAATTATTGCAATGCAATTTGGGCTGGAATTGAGTTCTTGAAAAAAAAGAAAACCCTTTGCAGCCATTCTGGAAGGTCCTTCAAGAAGCATCTAGTAGAGGGAGAAGTGTTATAGGTGAGTTTCATATCTTAGAACTGTCACTTTGCTTAATTTGTTTCTGTTAGGATGATACTTGTCTTGATTTAGGTGTACTTGAGGCAAATTTTATTGAGCCGGCACATGACAAGCAAGATTTTGAGAGGACTCCACTGTTCATTAGGCTGGAAACAAAACTGAAACAAATTATCGTTGATTATTGGTAAGCGCATTCAGACACCATTTTTTGTTTTGTTTTTGCACATCAGCTGCTCAATGTAAAGGAAAATAACATTGTGCCTATGAAGTATATACTACACTATGCATACTTGCACTAGCTTCATATTGTTGAAGAATTTTTGATTGATTTATTCATATGTATCTAACACTTCTGTTTTAAACATTTAAGTTTTTATAAACAATAACACTGTTTTATCTAAGACTTTGTTCTGTAATGCTCATCAAAGTCAGAGAAGTTTGACACCATGCTTTATAGGATGTCATTTATATACGAATGTTGGTAGTGCTATAGTAAATTGTCTTCACCGATTAATGTTGTGTCGTCAAGTTTAACAAACATTGAACATACAAGTGCAGGTCACTGTAGCTCTTTGTGGCCTCACATTTTCCCAAGTGGTAAAAAAGAGCCAAGTTTTTCTTGAGGAAAAAAAAGGGCCAAGTAAAAGCCCAGCTTCCATAACCCTTGTAAAAAGATCACTTCTCTCCGTAATAGTCGGTAATAGTACAAGGTAGTTGGGCTGGTCATTGCATAGTGATAACTCTTAATGATCCTATTGATAGAGGTTGAGGTTATGTCTTACATGTTTGTTGTTGCTTCTGAACCTGTGTATTGTTGAAGTTTTTCCTTCTATTAATAGATCACATGCAGTCCTCCTGCATTGTTTGAAAAATGATCGGTATATTACAAGGTAGTCGGGCTGAGCCTGGTAAAATCTGGCAGAGACCTGTTATCTTAGACGTTTTGCAACAATATGATGCCTAACTGGCCAATTTTAAGAACATTGTTTGACTTGGGATACCCATCATGCACCCGATTGTTCTCATTACTTTTCCCATATTGTGAGACTAATGGTTTATTTGCAGGAAAGAAAAGTGTCATCTAATAGGTTACCAGCCAATCGATCCGAAATTGAGATCCCAGTATAAGGCTGCTCTTAAAGATTCGGGCGGCCCTAGTGTGAAGATTCGGCATGAAGCTTCCACTGCTCAGAAGACTGGAGGGCACCTCTCAAATTTGCTCCCACAGACATATGATGATGAAGCAGCTTTTAGACTGACAGCTAACAGGGCAGGTAATAGTAATAGTTGTATGTAGAAATAACTATAATACTGTCAAAGCTATTTCATTTTTTTGGTTGCAAAATTGTAGGGGAGACCCCAACATTATTATATTTAGACCCCAACATAAGAGAAGAGGAGGGAGGGGCAACTAGCCCCACAAACTTGATACTAAGTACTAGCCACCTAAATTTTCTTTCCTCACTCAGCTCTTTGCTACAGTCCCTCCTCTCAAGCGCTCCCGAAGCTCTCTCTCAGAGCGAGTATAATAGTTCAGGCTTCAGGGTTATGTTTGGTTTTTCATCTCTGATGTTTCAGTTCAGTGTAGATATGTTATCCTGAGATCCTGCCGGTGGAGTTATATTTTAATGTTTTCTTGTTCCTACACTTGACATTGCAATATTTTTCACTAATAGATCGCTGGTTTAGTTAATGGTCTTAAGACTCTGATTATCAAGAAAACAGTCCTCTAGTCCAGAGGGTCATAAACTAGGAATATCTTGCTATCTGGAATTAAGTTTTTTCTTATTTATCAGAACATTATCTCAATGTTATTTGTATAGTTTATTCATAAACAAGTAAATGATGTGTGAAATATTGCGTGCTACTTATAAATAAGTTTTTCCAAACAGAGCATGGTAACTTTTCTGTTTTCTTTCCCTGTTGTATGAGAGCCAATTAGGTTATTGATTTTTACTTCTGTATAGAATCCATTCATGTTTTTATTATTTTCATTTGACCAGGTTCTGCTTTGCATTCGTCTGGCCAAGGTAGTATGGACTCAGCAGGCTTGGAAGAGGTTTGCACCCTTAGGCTTTGAACTGAGGCACGTTGTTCTTGTAGGTGCTTTTTCTTTGGACATTCGTTTCATCGCCCCTGTCACATCTCTTGTGGGAGAGAAAGATTGGTTTCTGATTCCACAATCTTCAGTGATGTTGTTGGTCTTTTGAATAGCCATTGTCAACATTTTTCCGTAAATTCCCATTGGTCCGCCCTTATCTTGGTTTTCACTAGTGTAGTGTCAAAGCTTAATTAAGCACAGAGTCATTTGGATGCTTTTTCGCACTAGGCAAGTATATATACTGCTGCATGATGGAAATATACTTTTAGCTAATAAGTTGTGCTATAACACTTCGTAAATCGTAATCAATAATAACACCCCTCCAAGTGGATGTGAAATGTACTCATATGATCTTTTTTTATCTTGTGTGACATTCAGGATCTGGTAGATATTGGCTCTCTTGGTGTTCTTGATCCCAGTTGCAATGAGAAGTTGAGTGAAGAAAATTTGGTTCTGTTCACAAGGTAAATTTGAATGATGATGGTACACATATGGGGTTAATTGCAGCAGAATGTGTCGTATGTATACAAGCGTCAACAAGCCGAGCGGCGTAGATAGGCTCCACTTCATCTTGATGCAAACTCAAGCCATGGTCGAGTACCTCAACTCTGTCAAAGCTTGCACTCGGCCTGCGGCCTGTTAAAACTTGGTAACAGGGCACCATACATATGAAGTGTTGAGATATTAGGATTCACGTTGACCTCATTTCACATCCCTTCATTTTTACCGTTCCCACTTCGAATCAATGAGAGAGACTGAGAAGCACATCACCAGCTTCAGCAGCTGTCGCTGAACTGATCAACCAACCTTCCATGAATATGCAATGAAGGAACTCAATCTATCATCATGCTCTTGCCATGTCGCTGAACAGACCAAAGAAATGAGAATCCAAGAACACCCCAGGATTTGAAGAAACTGTGCTGCACTCTATTATTGCCGTGTCTATTCTGCCCAACCTAGGTCATTGGGTGTTGGCCTAGACCCCACTGGCCCACAGCTGCCACTGGAGGTGGCTTTGACATTCTGTACTGCTGCCGTTGCACCTTATAGGCCTCATCGGTTGGGGAAGAAAGTGGAATCAATTTGGAGGGTGATAGAAATAATATGACCCAGAGATGGTTAGGGCGAGGGATGGCGGTCGGCCATACACAGGCACAGTATGAGAGGTGGCTTGGGTTTCATCTTTATGGTTTGGGCATGGGGAGTGTGGAATGACTGAAGGGAAGTTCAGGATTGGGTGGGATGTGTTGTGATGGGAGTGAGGTTAGATCCTCAGGATTGGGTTGGGGCATCTGAATATGGGTTGCAGGATGATCAAAAGGGCAGTGCTGCAATATAAAAGGTGGAAACTTACAAGCCTTTGCAAGCTAATCGAGGCCGGCTTGCTAATTCAGACAACGAGCCAAGCTCAAGTAGCTTGTCGACTCTGAGCATTTTATGGCCTGCATGATGGATTCAGAATTTGATATGCTGCATGCTCTTTCTCTCTCTACTATTGTCCATCTTGCTGCATAGATCATCACTATTTCAATTTGTATTCCCAGTCTAATTTGTGGTATGAGATAAATCATTAGACTGCCTGAGCTCAGGTTTGTGTGACTTAATCAGCCTGTTATATGTGCTCACTTCCAACACTTACCTTGTTCTTACAACGTGGCTTAACATTTAATTCAATTAGTAGGACTTGTTAGTGGTGTGTTAGTGCGTGAAATCCACATTACCAATTTATTCTTGGCAAGCTGAACTTAAAACATCCTTTGCAGGCGTGAAGATCTTCGGCAACGAGATACACAGTTGAAGCAGACGGTATGCCATAATATTTGAAGCGATTAGTTAGGGAAGATCATATCGGGCCACCTGATGAGATCTGATGATTCTTTGTAGATTGGTGAGCTGGAGCATGAACTAGAGGAAACAAGAAGGAAGTGCTCTCAGCTCGCAGCTGAGCTGCAGTTGCGGAGGAGTCAGCAACAACGTTACATGTGAAGGTTATTTTTACTACTTCTGACAGGTATTATAGGAGTATTTTATTGACTCACTGGACAATTCAAAATATACCTGTGTAGTTATTTAACCACACAGTTTTCTGCACACTAAATGGCAACGTTACATGTGAAAGCAGCTATTACTTGAATAGCCACCCTTGATCTCATCTTGGTTAAGTCAAGCCCTTAATTCTAGTTGTCAACCCTCATGGTTGGTATCCTGATAAACTGGAATGTACATCTAAAAATGACCAGTAATGCCTGAGGACAGGTTAACTGCTTCATGATTATTGTGATTTATTTGGACAGATCTGAACTCTTTCATTCATTGTTTGAATTTTTCTGTTGCAGACAGATGTTGTATACAACTATGCTAAAGTATTTATCCTATTAGGACTCCTTGTCTTGGGTGTCAAAATATGTTAAGAGTTTGTATGTTAGGGATCTGGGTCCAGCTGTTATCCATACTTCCATGTTGTGGCCGGCCACTGTTTCACTCGATGGCTTGACCTAGCATCACCTTCTCCACCAAAAAGAGAAAAACAGATACATTGTATTCGTTGTCCGTCTTCGTTTCCACCCCTTGTTGCCCGGTGACTTTCAATGGTGCTAACGACTTTGACTTCGTTGCCCACATGCATGGTCTTCTACCATCTATTTGGATAGTTATTTTTCATAGAGACCCTGACATCGGTTTCCATTGACAGGGCCTAAACTATGGGAACGAAACTCCTGGAAATATGTGGTTTCATCAAAGCACATATACTGAACAGCGATACGGATAGTATGTACGCTTCCGGAACTAATTTTTGCATCTTGAATTCTGTTGGTTTGTTAGGGTAAAGATTGAAATTTTCGCATGTTCCGTCTTTTTTTGAGCTGAATGTGTTGATTCCTTGCAGGGTTGCTCATACGCATACAAATGATCAGCGCGATCGGTATAGTTGCCCTCTTCAAGGGAAATCTTCAGTGTGAAGTTCCTCTGTTTTCTTTTCTTTTCTGTTCTGGTGTGGTACTGGCCGCCACTGTTAGCTATGGTGTGGTGTGGTGGCAGCATGCACAGTTCACTGTAATATATACTGGGTGTTACTATTTCACATCTTTTTACATATCCTGTAGAGTAGAACACTATTGTGTGATAACTACTAGTGGAACAGTGTGTGTGTGGTTAATTCAGACTGCTGGTTGTGTTTGTTTTGTCCATTCTCAAGATTAATTTTCTCAATTTGGTTGTCGAAAATGTAAGTAGAACGAGATGAGATGCGGCATGGGCTGAAATCTAAATTCAAAGCTATATCATGTGTAAGTGACAAGTAGCACAACACCAGAGGAGGTTGGATGTGGCCTTTGCAAAGAGTAACCCTTAACTAGTGATTTTGAACAATCATGAGCATGTGTACCACCTGCTGGCTGGTGCACCGTAAACGGAAGACATCCCGGTGAACGACTCCAGGCAAGGACTCAGTGGATTCCTCCTCCAGCTGCCGGCCGGTGGATGAAAGTCAAGTCAAGAAATACTATGTCTTCTTGATCCATTCCTGTCTGTTATAGGGTTGACGCGAATAGATGAGTGATAGTATAATTTCCTTATGTACTTTTTCGTCATGTGTTCTTGATCTGTCTAATTAGGCAACCAGGGGGCACATCCCATCTGTATTCCAGTGATGTGTTCTTGAGCTATATTTTACTCCCTCTGTTCCTAAATATAAGTCTTTGTAGAGACTCCACGGGGAGTCTCTAAAAAGACTTGTATTTAGGAACGGAGGGAGTAATGTTTAGGTAAGTAGTTAGCCTAGGCAGCACACATGATCTGTATACTTGCATACCTAATCAAACCAAAGATGGCAATTAGTGCCCTAGGGTTGTATAATTAGTGGTCTAATAAAGTACTGGCTCTGGGTTTGTGTAGCGAGTGCCCTGGGGTTGTATAATTAGTGCCCTGGCGTGCTCTAAATTTTGTTCAGTCATTCCGAAAAAGAAAAAAGAGGAGTTGGCCCAAAGCTTCTACCCGATCTTTCCGGCCTCCTTGTCGTTCGCCGTCGCCCCTGCCGCCATGTGGAGAGGCGGCGCCACTGCCGCCTCCGCCTCCGACGTGCTGCGGCACTACGGGTGGTGCTACTGGGAGCTCTCCAAAGCCCGCCTCAGGTGCACTGCCGCCTCCACCTCTGACTTGCTGCGGCACTACGGGCGGTGCTACTGGGAGCTCTCCAAAGCCCGCCTCAGGTGCGCGATTTGCTCCAGTTTCCTTTCACATTTGATGTTTTTCATAATGAAGTAAAGATACGCTCTCCAGTTCTTGCGGCTAAATTCCGAAGAAATGAATTTTTACTTGCTCCGTGATTTGGGAATTATAACAGCTGAGCACGAACTCATTAATATCCCTTAACGTTTATGCAATGTAGGATTTAGTATGTTTGATTTAAAAAGAGGGGGTAAGAGGGACCATGTTAAAATTTGCCGTGAGATTAACCTCTCTGATGCTGTTCAGCGAACATATGATGCTATGTGACAAACTAACTGATGCAGCCCTTCTGTTTATGATGTAGAAATGGAATTCTAAGTGTATTGCAGACTGGGTTCGTTTGACACATGACCTCTCTCTTCTTCTTGTTGTTTGTTTTTTGCTTCACCATTCAGTTTTGTTGTGCTTTTGGACCCATGTCATGCAATGTTAGGGCTTGGCCAAAACTTTTGTGCGCGGTGGAGATCCTAGATAGCAGATAGTGGCTGCTGCCAAATCATTACTGCCTTGGTCGGTCCACCTTGACAATGTATGCATAGCGGTCGATTAGTGGTTTAGTGTGCCCTGAAAAGCTAAGATGGTAAAAATGAACTAGCTTTTAATGTTTTTATCATACGGTGTTCAGTATCATTAGTTTTTGCCATTCATCAGATTTCATAAATTGTAATGGCACTCGACTTCTTGCAATCTGTCCGCATATGGTAATGTATATGAGTTTGCCATGGTCTGTGTCTTGCATCTTGGAACTCCTTGTAACTGACGGATTATTTGTTCTCTTGTTGCATTTATTTTATTTTATCATATGTTCCCTTTTTATGGTATCTAGTGCACTTGTTATGGCAACATCGGGGGCTGGATATGTGCTCGGGAGTGGCAGCATCGTAAACATTGCTGGACTTTGCTACACATGCACTGGTACCATGATGGTTGCAGCATCTGCCAACACTCTCAACCAGGTATGTGCTTGTTTTTTGGGGTAGCCTTTTCCATTAATTCTTTGTGTTCACATTCTTGAATTCCTTTTGTGTTCATTGTCACGCAACCTCATACTTTAATATCACTTTTTGACAAGTTATTCTGATTTTCCTACATATTCACATTGTATTGGGACTTATAGATATCATTATACACCTGATTATCACGCTTAGAGACAATGAACTTGGTGCATTGACGTCCTTTTCAGGTGTTCGAGATAAAGAATGATGCTAAAATGAAAAGGACAATGCGCCGGCCCCTACCATCAGGGCGTATTAGTCCTGTGCATGCTGCCATGTGGGCTACAAGTGTTGGAGCTGCAGGAACAGCATTATTGGCTTGCAAGGTTCGGCTCTTTGCTGTTTGCCTGTACTTGCTCTACACTTTGTTTGAATTGTGTACGGTCGCTGTAGTTGGTATAGTGCTGTTATTGGAACTGAACATTGCGAAACTTTGGCAATGTTTTGCAGGCTAATTACTTAGCTGCTGGGCTTGCAGCATCCAATCTCATTCTGTATGCATTTGTGTACACTCCACTGAAGCAAATACACCATGTTAATACATGGGTGGGAGCAGTTGTTGGGGCCATTCCGCCACTTCTAGGGTATGTTACTGCTGAAGACACACATATGGACTTTCTAGGTTGAAGGGCGTATTTTATATGTTGAATAATGGAGCGTGTGTATGCTCTTCATCCCCTGGTTTAAGTTCTTATTGTGCTCCCTGATTTAGTCATTTAATGGCCTGGCCACTGGAACAACCTGGTTTAGTACTGCCATGAAGATCACTGCATGGCACGGCGTATGGGATTGGATAATAGAACATGGCTTAGGGAGGACGAACGAGGGAGATGACAGATTGATAAACTATTCTCTTATCGAGTGATTAAATGTGATACATGCTAGTCCTTTAAGTAGGACGGCTAACTTGATCTGCAAGTCGTATTTCAGTTTAAACTTTAAACCGAAGTTTTAAAAGACGTTAGGCACTAATTGCGAGTTTTGCCACTGCCTTGCGCTTTTCTGACCAAAGCACAATTATGCACATATTAAGCACTAGGCGTTTTGCTATTGCCTAGAGCCTAGGCGTGCCTTTTGTTTACTATGGTTTAAACTCAAGACCAAACCATAGCTACCTTCCTAGTTCACCTGGGCTCTTCTTAGTTTAACTACACTCTTTGTAATGGACTCAACTGTATCCAACAAGGATAATTACTACTCCCTCCGTCTCATAATTTAAGAGCGTTTTGCAAGCTAAGAATTTTACGTAAACACGGATATGCATGTCTATGTGTGTGTGCGCGCACACACACATAGTAACGACTCTCGCGACTACTCATACACATCATCGATGTCTCGTTCTCCCTGCACCCTCACAAACTTAGTACTGCCTCATTTTGTTCCTAGGGAGGGAGTACTTGAATTACTCCTTTTCTTACCTTTCCTATCTCTAGCATAATCTATCCAATGCCTTCACGGATAAGCCTATATCCTGCTGCCTTGTGCACTCACGGCCATAACAGATCTGTTAGAATAAAAGCAACATATATATCGTAGAGACATCTGGACCTACCAGCTTAAACAAACAAATTGAAGTTATGAACTACTCTCAAATCCATGGCTGCTAACTTAAAGCACCAAACTGATGATACCGCTGCCTTGGAGGCTGTTTCAGGTGATATAAATGACATGTTAAGCAAGCAAATAAAAAAGGGGGTTGCTTATAGGCATCATGGGCATATATTCTGTACAGTATTGCACTCCTGTTTATTTATTGAATGAATATGAATGGAGCTGTGCAATATGTTTACATGGCATTTGGCCGGCCTTATTTATCTTGATACAGGTGGGCAGCAGCAGCATCTGAAGTGTCACTCAACTCTATGATTCTGCCTGCTGCTTTGTACTTTTGGCAGTTACCGCATTTCATGGCCCTTGCGTACTTATGCCGTGACGACTACCTTGCTGGAGGGTAACTCAATTATTCATTCCAACTGGTTATTACCAAATCTACCTAGTGTAGAAGTTACATCAAAATGTTACAGGCCTTTACATTGATTGACTTGTTGATTCAGGTACCGAATGCTTTCTTTTGCTGATCCTACTGGTAAAAGAACCGCATGGGTATCACTCAGGAATTGTCTATACATGCTGCCGTTGGGGTTATTTGCATATAACTGTAAGTACTAATCATATACAGTACTATATAGGTTCTCTAATTTCCACTTGCTTCTACTTGTAATAAACTTACTCATGAAACTAACAAATGCTTAATTTGTAGGGGGTCTAACATCTGGATGGTTCGGTTTTGAAGCATCGCTTCTAACGATGGGCCTTACCATTGGAGCCTTATCATTTGTACTGGATCCTACTCGTAAGAGTGCAAGAAGAATGTTCCATGGCAGCCTTTTGTATCTTCCTGCTTTAATGGCTGGACTTATATTGCATCGGCTGCCTAACCAATGAGACTAGTGAGATCGCTGGGGTTGTTTGTGTTGCTGAGCTGCGGGACGACGAAGAAAGAGCTAGACAGAAACGGGAACATTATCGTGCTCAATCACGCCCTCCAGTTGTCTATGCTTCTGTAGCCCCATTCCACTCTTACCTGTACCTGTGTACATATCTCCACAAGCTTATGAGTTATGAAAGCCTTACTTATCCTAGCATCCCTTCCCTTTTTGTCTGTTATCAGGAAATTCTTTTTCACTCTTGACAAGAATATTTCCTGATAAGGGAAAATCCTCTTTGTATTGTTAAAATAATATCTGAGAATGATGAACATAATTTTTATTTGGAAAAAACATAAAGTTGAGTTAGATCCCAGATTGTTGACCAGGGTGTGCAATGCCTTGTGGCTAACTCAATTAATGGGCATGCTCCCTCACCATCCGTTCTTCTTTTCTTTCTCCCCTCCCACTTATATTGTGATTCAAGAAGGGGATTAGATGAGGCAAGTAGTAGATAGGCTCGAGTCACACGAGGGAAGTAGATATTGATCTGAAGGTTAGTGGAGATAAATTTAGTGGTAAAGGAAGAAAGTATATATCACAGGAAGATGTGGAAAGTATATATCGCGAGAAGATGTCTCAACTTGAACTACCATGTGAAGCAATTGGAAGAAGAAAGGGGAGAAGGCTAGGTAGAATCCAGTGCTTCAGAATGTGTGAAGAACCTAAATAGGCAGGACCGGAGGATGGTGGGAGGGCATGGGGAGTGGATGGAGTTAAAATGTTGAAGCAATATATTTCATGACCATGCATATAAGCCCAGTTCTCGCACATGGACATGGTACTATTCTATCTAGTATGGTATTAGTTCGATCCTATCCAAACGCTGGTCCTATCTATGAGCAACGTAAAGGAAAAAACTACAAATATATAGTTCACCTGGCTCCTCGGTTGCATTCGGCTTTCACATCAACCGCACGACTGCTCGCCGTGTTTTGCATATAGTTTGGCAAAAAAATGTCTGTCAGATGGCTCAACTAACTTCTTGGTTGGGATTGGTATTTGTGCCAAGGGTCCACAGCTATCTTCATGAGGCTTGATCATAGAATGTTGTCGATGAACAGACAAAGCCCTCTCCTACCTTCGTACAACATGCATGAGCCATCGCCCACTCTGTTGCCAGGTGATCCGATCTACCTATTGGAGGGTAGGTAGACTTAATTCCAAGTTTGAATTATTAATTATTATTCATTCAAACTGGTTATCACCAGATCTACCTACTGTAGAAGTTAGATCAAAATGTTACATGCCTTTACATTGATTGACTTGTTGATTCAGGTACCGAATGCTCTCTTTTGCTGATCCTACCGGTAAAAGAACCGCATGGGTATCACTTAGAAATTGTCTCTATATGCTGCTGTTGGGGTTATTTGCATATAACTGTAAGTAGTAATCATGCATATAGGTTCTCTAATTTCCTTTACTTGTAATAAACTTGAGATGTTACTCATGGAACTAATTAACTGATGCTTAATTAATCTGTAGGGGGTCTAACATCTGAATGGTTTAGTTTCGAGGCATCGCTTCTAACGACGGGCCTTACCATTGGAGCCTTGTCATTTGTACTGGATCCTACTCACAAAAGTGCAAGAAGAATGTTTCATGGTTGATACGTACAAACCCGATGAACGAGTTCACGCCTGAGGGTCGCCCGATCTTCACGTCATAGGATCGAATCGAGGAGGATAACTAGCTGCAAGCAACCGGGATAACTAGCTTTATACCTGCCAAGATTGGATGCAACACGTATGTTGGGAATGGCTGACCGAAGGTACAAGAACTTCAACCCGCTATCCGAAAAATTGCAGAACCATAAACCGGGACTAACCCACACAAAATGACCGTAACCGTAGAGCACAAATTAGGGGGAACCAGAGGCTCCTTCTCACGAATTCGGATGAATTCACAAGAGCAAAGGTAGCAAGGATATCTAAGATCTCTGTAGCAGTCTTGCTGCATAAGCTTGTAGCTGAATGGTTTGACAAAAAGTTTCTAAATGGATGGGGGAGATGTGGTTTTATAGCATGGACAACTCCCTTTAGCTAGGTGTGAAAAGAATTCAAAAGCAAGCATCTTTGCATGGCTTCCTTGGGGGAATAAGCGGTCAACTTTGGCAGTTGTTGGAGAGCTTCTCGGGAATTCGCGAAGCCTTGATAGCCTGGACACCTTCCACGAGAATGACTAGATCAGATTTTGACTCACAACTCCAAATGATACGAGGTTTTTTGCATTGGAAAGTAAATTTGGTGAAGCTTCTGGTGATATACTTCTATGGCCCCGTCTCTCCACCAAATGGGTGTGACACAACGAAACATCAGAGGTAAAACTGACAGCATCAACTTCATTTGAAACTTGTTTTCTCCAAACGGGTTGCTTCAAGAGTTCATAGGTTGTTGGATTTCTTCCATGCAATACCTAAGTTCAACCAACAACAATGGGGATGAAATCATAGTTGTGTCATCAAGGTTACAAGATAAACTTAAGTTAGCGTTCACCTGGTCACTTATCAGTTTGACGCGACTTCTTGTGATTGGGCCCATAATTGTTGGATACTTGTCGATGGTTGTGGTACTTCCTGCTTTAATGGCCGGGCTTATATTGCACTGGCTACCTAATGAACAGAAGGAGCATCATACTAGTAAGATTGCTGGGGTTCTTTGTGGTGCCACTAGTAGAAAAAGGGTCAAACGTGAAGCACATTAGTGCCGGTTTGTATTTGAGCCGGCACTAATGTATACATTAGTGCTGGTTCCAACGGCTAGCCGGGCCTCCATCATTAGTACCGGTTCGTGGCGAACCTTTAGCATCGGTTCGTGCCACGAACCGGTACTAATGAGAGTGGTGGCAGGATGTTGTCAGAATGGGGCCCCTCCAGCCCCTTTAGTATCGGTTCTTGGCACAAACCGGTACTAAAGGTCGTCTTACATAAACCCTTCGTCCACCTGAGCTCGCTCTGTTCTTCCCCTTTCCCCTCTCCTCTCTGTTCTTCCCCTCTTCCTCTCGAGCTCATCACACATTTTGCCCAAAATTTGTCAAGATTTGAAGGCCCCCATCCATTCAAATGATCACAAAGGTTAGCAACTTTGTCCTTTCATCTCTCATTGCTAGATTAGCTCTTGCAATGCTTTATATAGTGATTAATTTGTGAGTTTAGTAATTTGGGAGGATATATATATATGTGCTAGTATTTGATTTATATGCAATTTGAGGTCAAAAATAACACTTAGTTTGCATATGTAGGTGTGGTTTACTTAGTGCCTTCTAAATCTCCATCGTAGCCACCGTCGATCGCCCGCACCGTCCCGTCGCCGGCACCACCTTGTGGTGATCCTCTTGTTCATGAAATTTTATATAAAAATTGATGTTTGTGTGATTTGGATATATAGTTACTCGTATAATTATCTTACCCGTACGTTGTTTGTTATACATATAGTGCCATGGTTTTGATATCCGTCCCCGTCGGCCCTAGTCCTTGTTATGATTCGAATGTGGTATGTATATTCTCTTTTAAAACTAGTTGCATTTTGTGTTTATGACAAATTATGCCCATCAAGTTGACATAGAAATTTTTTCTAGGAGGTATGTGAACCGGAAATTCCAACCGACCCTATTGCCGAGAGGTTAAATTTAGTTGAAAGAGAAAACGAGTACTTGAAAGAATAGTTGAAAAGAATTGAGGGGGAGAAGATGGAATTGGAGTTGCATGTTGCCGATGTCGTCGATGATCACAAGATCAAGATGGAGAAAATGCGCTTGAAGATTAGAAAGATTAGAAAATATGCCATTGATAGTGACGCTTGGTATCATTATGCTGTTGGATCCATTGTTACCTTAGTTGCGATCTTGATCATATTTGTTGTTGCATTTAAATGCTTTAGCTAGAGAGTTATTTGTTTGTTGCATTTAAGTGTTGTATGAATTTTATGTATGAACTTGTATTAATTGTATGAACTTGTATTAATTTGGTCTATTCGGTGTTGTGTAATGAAGATGAGCCGACAATGGATGTACGATGACCGATGCTCTCCCCAGTTCGTTGAGGGCGTGCATACTTTTCTGCTTGCGGCTGAGGCAAACAAGCGGGCGGATGGTTTTATGCCTTGTCCATGTGCTCGCTGTAAGAATGGTCACAATTACTCTACGTCAAGAACCATTCACGTCCACCTGTTTAAGTCCGGTTTCATGCCCCATTATAAAGTTTGGACCAAGCACGGAGAAAGAGGGGTTATGATGGAAGACAATGAAGAAGAAGAGGACGACGACAGCTATCCTGGCCATGGGTTCCCTGAATACGATGATACAACAATGGGGGAAGAAGCTGAGCCGGTAATGCGGGAAGAAGCTGAGCCGGCAATGCGGGAAGAAGCTGAAGAAGAGGCATCAAATGAGCCCGTTGATGATCTAGGTCGGGCCATTGCCGATGCAAAGAGAAACTGCGCAAGTGATTTGGAGAAGAAGAAGTTGCAGCGCATGTTAGAGGATCACAAAAAATTGTTGTACCCGAATTGCGTAGGTGACAAGAAAAAGCTGGGCACCACACTGGAATTGCTGCAATGGAAGGCAGAGAATAGTGTATCTGACAAGGGATTTGGAAAGTTGCTGGTAATGATAAAGGATATGCTTCCAAAGGACAACGAATTGCCCGAGAGTACGTACGAAGCAAAAAAGGCTGTCTGCCCTCTAGGGTTAGAGGTGCAGAAGATACATGCATGCCCTAATGATTGCATCCTCTACCGCGGTGAGTACGAGGATTTGAACGCTTGCCCGGTATGTGGTGCATTGCGCTATAAGATCTGCCGCGATGACCCTGGTGATGTCGAGGGCCGGTGCCCCAAGAAGAAGATTCCTGCCAAGGTGATGTGGTATGCTCCTATAATACCACGGTTGAAACGTTTGTTCCAAAACAAAGAGCATGCCAAGGCGATGCGATGGCACAGAGAAGACCGTAAGAAAGACGGA